AATTAAAAGTTTATTTCTGTTTCCAGAAACCTGTTCTCTGAACACTATTTAAGCTTTTGAGGGGGTAAGTACATGATTAACTTCATCATTTTAAGGATCATTGCGGTTTTTTTAGTATATAAAAGTGGGGCATGGTGTTTTCCTTTTAAAATGACTCATATAAATTAAAAGGACTTCTGAATTCACAAGGACATGTTCAACAAAAGCCTTGGGAAACCAAAATGTCCGGTTCTCTTTAAGTATGTCTTTTTATTTTTAATTTTTTTCTTTTAATTTGCTCTGACATGAATGTGTAATGCTGAGAATCTATGCTAATGAAGAATGTGTCCGCAAGATGTATAATGCATGCCTTTTAATTAGTTCTGCTGCTATAACTGATGAACATTCTGCTTGTGCACTACTATTACAAAGAACTAGCAATGAAACACTGTGTGCATCTAGTCCCTGTAGGGGGAGAAAAAGCACCGACCGCCGCCATTGTGTAACATCTGCACCGCTCAAGCGAGCATGCGTATTCCTCTTGGAAGTCTGCTGGGAGGCGTTTGAAGCAGCCTGGAAAGAAGCAGCAGAAATAAAAGAGAAAATGAAAGAGCAAAAGGCCCAGAGGAATGGATATGGGAAGTGCTGTAAGAGGACGGAAAGAGATCAAGATGAGTATGAAGACGGTGGAAGCAACCATAACTTCATACGGAATCTGGGGCGAATGGAGTAGACGGAAATAAAAGCTAAGGAAAGAGAGAATGAAAACTGTGTGCACGTATGTGTGTATCGACATAGGTATACGTTCAGGGATGCATGTGTGGGTGCATGCATATCAGTTGTTGTGTGTAGAGTAACAGTGACAGATATTAACTACAGAAATAGAAAGCTCCAGGACCAGCACACAGCCTGCGGATTCAGTGACCTGACCCCGGGCCAGATCCGCCTGATGTGGAGTCTCTAGCAATCACGCATGCCCCCAACCCCTGCCCAAGGTGCAAGGAAGGCCCGTTCATCATTGGCTCCCAGTCACCGTGTCCTATGTATGAACCTTGTGCTAAGTACTGGGGAGACAGCACTAAGGAAGGCCTTTTTTTTTTTTTTTTGCTTCAATTACTTTACAGTCCAGTGGAGAAAGTACAAGCAAGCAGGGAGTCAGGGTGATATGACCTCACAACAGGAGAGCAGATAAACAAACTGCTGACATGAAGCTTGGGAGATTCGAGGAAGGATTTCTGACATAAGTGGTATCTATCTGGAGAGGGTCATATGAAATGTGGGTGGGGAAAAGGATGTTCCAGACTAAGGCAACATCCTGTGCACAGGACTTGAGAAGAGAAGGGCCTGAGTACTTTAAAGAAATGCAAATGGTCCAGGAGAATGGGGAGCAAGGGGTGGGCTGGGAGACTGACAAGTGGCAAGGTCATCAGGCAGGGGCCAGACATGAAGACCTCTCTTTGTGGAATTGGTTTAAATGCAGATTAGTAAGGTGAGTCGGTTTTTTGTTATTTGTTTGCTTTTTTTTTAAATTGGGGAACAGTGTGTTTTTCCAGTACCCTTCAGCTGCAAGTCAAGTAGTTGTTTCAATCTAGTTGTAGAGGGAGCATTTCAGTGGCCCATGTGGGGACCGAACCGGCAACCTTGGTGTTATGTGAACTGTGTTCTAACCAACTGAACTAACCAGCCGCCCCAAGTTTAATCGTTTTAAGACTTCTCACCGACCATGCAGTACATTATGAATTTACAAGTGAAGGAGACCGAGGCAGAATTCCTTAAGTTCCTCCCAGGCCCTTGCTGGTTTTTTTTTTTTTTTTTGGTTTTTTGTTTTGTTTTGTTTTTAACAATATGCCTACTCACATTTTAGGTATTTAACAAAAGACCTGTTAGACACAGTCTGAGAATCACTGGACTAGATAAATACATTGTAATTTAGCTCTGGGTCTCGATAATCTAGCCCTCAGCCTACCCATTCAGGTACTAACTATAGATTCATAATTACCAACACTGCCCAGCAGCCCTACTATGGTTCTTTTTTCCCTTTTATGATCATCTCACTCTTCCATTCTCCCTAATAGCAATTTCAAAACTCCTCTCAAATCTCCAATCTTTTCCCCATTACTCTTCACTCTCAGCAGATTACTTCCACTTAATAGAAATTAGAAGCCATCAAACAGGAACTGCTCAGTTTCCTGCTATGCAACTTCTAGTACTTCCACAGGGACACCCACCTACCTCTGTCACAAGAGGAGAACTTTCCAGCCCCTCCTTATTTAAATATTATCTGTTATTTCAGTAAATTTATATTATGAAGGGTCCTTTGTCACAAAAGTCTCCCAGTAAAACAACACCACTATCTGCTAAACCACATTCTTCCCCTGCAACAGAATTTTTTTTTGTTATCCCTTTATCTCTATTTCCTCACTTCCCACTCATTTTCCCACTTGTATCCATCCACCAAGCAGCCCTTGCTAAGAATCATCAATGCCTCACTGCACTAAATCCAAGGACCTTTTTCAGTGCTTATCTTCCCTTACCTCTCACTAGCATTTACACTGCCCACCACACCCATCACTTAACACACTCCCCTGGCTTCCATGACAGAAATCACTTCTGGCTTCCTCCTTCCTCTCTCTGATCAGCCTCCTATACATTTTTATCCTCCTCTATTCCACTGTTAACTGTTTAAGATCTTCAACCTCAAATTTAATTTCTTGGTCCCCACTTTAGTTTCCCTCCTTGGGTCAATGCATCTATTGCTGTCTTCAGATGCATTCTGAAAATCTCCTGAATTCCATTTACTCATCCCAGTCTTCATGCCACCAATCTACCACCATTTTTCTCATACTATTGTTGTGGTTCCCCAACTAGTTTCCTTATAACCTCTTTGGCACCCTTAAAAAGTGTTCTCCATGCCATAGCTAAAATGGATGTTTTATAGAACAAATCTGATGATGTCAAACGTTTTCACTTCTGTACACACACACACACACACACACACACACACACACACACACACACAGAACATTTTTATAGCTTCCTGTCATCCTAGGACAAATACCAAAAATACTTACCATGGCCTATAAGGCTCTATATTCTCTGGTCCCCACCTATATCTCCACCCTCTTTTCCCTCAAGTCATACTTCTCTTTGGTTTAATCTTGTACTTCACTATACTGTTTTCACTGTTAGGTTTCTCGAAAACACTATCCTTCCTCCCACCACAATCTCTACCTGGAACACTCTTGCCCCTCCCTCCCTTTATCTAGCAAATGTTTTCTCATGATTTAATACTCAATCAATTTTAAATCACTTAGAGATGACTTCTGTGACAACCAGCCTCTCCCTCTTAAACCCTGTCTGAAGCCAGAGGTCTTATTACATACCTCATTATCCAAAAGAGGCTAATATTGAAGAATATTAAACCAGGTCATTGAAAATGGATATAGTCCCAGCTGGGAGGAAATATCTTAGAGTTGGAGTGATGTCTTATAGCATATGTATACGGCTGAACCAATGGCCAATATATCATGTCTTTTCACCCACAATCAAAATAACACATATGGGAACGAAGCAGAAGTGTTGATAGTACTTCTTTTCTTCCTTTTTTTTTTTTTAAGCTGAGCCATCCTGCCACCTGTTGGCAGCTCAGCTGCTGCTCAGCTCGGGCTGGGAATTGAACCACTGTTGATGATACATTTAATGGTCCGTACTTAAAATGTTTATATCTTAATCTAATATTCAGCACTCCAATAGTTCACAGGTTTAATAACTATGGGAGGGACATTTCTACTAGGGCACAGATATTTCCACTACATGAAAGCTGAGTTTCAGTATGGACCTTTGCATACCTTATGCAAATAAGGTGGTCATGGTGTTGGTTGGGGTGATTGATACTGACAATAACAGGAAATACTGTTGCTGCTACACAGTGGGGGCTACAAGGATTTTGAACCCAGAGGATACCTTAAACCACCTCCTGTATCTCTCTACCAATGTTAAGGGCAGACTCTCTCAAACCACACATAGGTAGGACAACCACAAATTTTGTCTTCTCCAAAAAATAATATTTAGGTTACTGTACTAGGCAAGGAACCTTGACTGTATGAGATATTGGATAGAGAAAAAGGACTATAGAAGGGTTAACAAATGAAAACAGCAAATGCCAGTTGTGGCCTTGTGACTCACTCGAGAAACAAGCTGGTACGTCTACTTGTGTGTCCTTGCTTGCTTCTCTTCCCTCTTCTTTTCCCTTAATACTTATATTAGGTGTATTGTTGGTGATTATGTTTCCCATTTAGCTCCATAAATTGGAGAACATTGATGTGGATTCATGATGGAACAAAAGAGGAAAGAGACATTACCCAGAAATCCTGGATGTAAAGAACAGAGGTAACCTATTATCTCCGCATGAGTTTTGGAACTTATTCACTTATTCACTGATTCAACAACACACAAAATAAATATAAATCTATTTACGGCAGTTCACAAAGAGCGATGTCAGGAAAGGTGGTTATCAAGCTGGATCCCTGAGATCTTTCCAACAAGTTATAGCAACACTGTACACTGCCTAGGTTGTGGGAACTTCATATTTACTGTGCCCTTCTCAGAAGGACAAGAACTTCAGCAGCACATAATTACATTTCCTGTCTCTTAAATCACAACCATCTTTATATGAGTGTCATACACTCTGTTTCAATCCTTGCATATTTTATAGTTTGTGATTATTCCTGTAAAGGAGGGCAGGCTGGAAAGCCTATGATAAATTCCAATATTCAAGGTGAATTAACCTTTTTTTATATGAGTAATTGTATTGTCAATACTTGCAAAACTTACCCGAGACAAAACTGCTATTCAAGATAAGATTTCAGCATGTCTGTTCTCATAAGTCTGGGAGTGACGATTTTGGGCATGCCCTGATGAGGATATTTGTATACACCCAGCCACACCTAGCTAGGTAACTCCACAACAGGCTAAACAAGAACCGCTACCATCTCTTAATGCTTGTCTTCTTTTGCCACAACTGCTCCTGGTAGAAGCTTCTGGTAGAACATCCTCAGATTTACGTGAGTGTTCTGAAATCTCCAGACCTGGCTTGGAGAGGGAGGGGAGGTGAGCAGGTGTTGAAGGTGAGGGGCTTCATGCAGGTTTCCAGAAAAGTGGGTGCATGACCAGGTCCTCCTAAAGGTGGGTAAGTGCGTGGTATAGTGGGCTGGCTCCCCAGGATTTTACTTACCCCCATTTCACAAGGGGCTCCAGACTAAGGTACTGAGCCTGGTCCTGTACTCACATGTGGCAGCTCTCCCTCTCCTGCCAGGTCCCAGCTTCTCCTCCAGGAAGCCTGTCCTGAATACCCAGGACCCATCATGAATTTGGCATGTGTCCTATGGGGTCTTTCCTCCCTTTCCCTCAAAAGTCCTGCCTGTTCACGTAGATATTAAGTCCCAGGAGCACAGACACTGTCTTGTATTTTTGTAATTCAAACTTTGGTAGATGTCACTAAATACATGTCAGATGAATCCTTCTGGTAACAGTGTGTGCACCTGGGGTCCATGGCAGCATCAGACTATTTTACTACCTCAGACAGTTAAAGGTGTCACAGGACTAAGGATGCAGAAGGTGGAGGGGGTTGAAATGCAGGCCCCCTCCCTCAGCAGCCAGGCCCTTCAGAGGGAGTCCCCAGGGCCACACCTGCATTTTTCTTTCACAGGTGCTCACTCAATGTGCCTTGATTTCACTGTCAAATGGCAATCCAGACCTGGACAGCCCTGGTGTGAAGTCCAGGGCTCAGTGGATCAAAGGCCTTTCCTTCAGTATGACAGTGACAGCAACAAGGTCCAATCTCTGGGTTACCTGGGAGAGAAGGTAAATGCCACCAAAGCATGGACAGAATTGACCCACATGCTGAAGGAAGTGGGACAAGAACTCAGGATGATCCTGCCTGACATCAAACTGGAGAAAACCAGGAACAGGGGTAAGTGAGGGGAGGGGCGGGGAGATGGAGACAGTCAGCAGGAGAGGGAAGGAGTGGGGCACAGGCAGGGAAAGGGCTTTGGGTAAAGGAACTGAACTCTGGTCCCACCCGAGACACGGTGGACCTGATGGGAATAAAGGGCAAGTCGTGGAGACAGTACAGGCTCCTAACTGTGCAGAGACACACTTGGCCTACTGGGAGACGGTAGAGCTCTCAAGGGTCAGGATGACGTCTGTGTGTGTGGGATTGCAGGTCCTCCCACCCTGCAGACCAAATTGTCCTGTCAGCATGAGTCAGGAGCATGCATTGGTGCGTCCTGGCAGTTTGGCTTCAATGGACAGACTGCACTTCTCCTTGACACGATGAACATGAACTGGACAGTCACTGATGCTAGAGCCAGAGGAATCCAGGAGGACTGGGAAAACAACAGGAACCTGGCAGAGAATTTCAAAAAGATCTCACGGGGAGATTGCTGTTACTTGCTTAAAGATCTCTTAGAACACTGGGGGGGAAATGCTGGAGCCCACAGGTAACTGAGCAGGATGTGGGGGATGCAGTAGCTCTCTTTAATGGTCTAATGCCTGTTCTGTGTGGGTGTGAGTATGTGTGTGAAATGGGAAATTTTATGGTTGGATCGACTGGTTGATTTCTTGATGGACTTCCTGTCTGGAGAGTCAGCAACTGCCATACAATCAATTTCCCAGCATCCTTCTTTCCCATCCCACCTCCCTCAGCATAGGAGTCCCCTTTCTCCAATTAACCAATGATCCAGTCATCCTGGACTGCTAGATGGTCCCCAAATCCCTATGCATTATGCTTCCAGGCCTTCCCTTCTTCCTCTGTTATAGTTATTCTTCAACCAGCTCAAATGTCACTTCTTATGAAGCCTTCAGTTCCTTCCTCAGACAGAATTAAGCACCCCCAATTCTGTCACCCTCAAAGAGGTCTACCCACATAAACATGTCCAACTACGTGATAATCAGATGGACAACTGCTGTCTCCCTCAGTAGAAATGTGAGCTCCCTGAGGACAGGGCACAACCCCTGTTCATCTTTAGACCACAGGACCTAATCGAGGGGCTGTCACATAATAAGTCAGTAAATATGGGGTTGACATGTGCTGACTAGGGGATGTAGATGCTAAGGAAGGTGTATTTTTAGGTTTGACAAGGTTTTGGGGTTTTTTTCTTTGTTTTAGCACCATTATTAAAGGCCCCAGATACCCAACAGTCTTCACTCATCAAGTCAATTGTATGGATCTTCTCAACACTCATCATCTGCTCAGGCTTAATTTTCATTGTCAAGAGATATGGAGGAAATAAGTCACCATGGAAGCTTAGAAGCAGACTGACTCTGGCCATGGAGCAGGATGTAATCTGGTAAGAACTTGAAAGAGGTGAGCCCTGGTCTCACCTGTCCCTGTCCCTTGATCCATTTATATGTAGAAATGATGCACTTTCTTTGCGCTGAGCTCCCACACTCCACAGTATGATTGGGGATACTCTGTGCTTGGGGAGAGGAGGTAGTTATAGGCAGCCCCATAGTGCCATGAGGGAAGGTAAAACCAAGTCCCTGCTCCTGTGTGGGGCAGGAACAGAGGTCTAGAAAGCCTGGGGTGGATGCTGTCTTGCCTCAATGTAACTCAGGATTTGCATCAACTTTTGATGAAAAAAAATATTAGGTTGGTGCAAAAGTAACTGCAGTTTTTGCATTGTTGAAATTTGCCTTTGATATTGGAATACATTCTTGAATATGGTTATGTTATACATCAATTTAATGTGCATTTCTCACTTTATGTTTTTTTGCTAATGACTTATTACTGGCTATTTCTTTTGTATAAATTTTAGACTATGGAAATGATTTTAAACAAAAAGCAAATTCGAGCGATTTCCTTATTCAAGTTCAAAATGAGTCGTAAAGCAGCGAGACAACTCGCAAAATCAACAATGCATTTGGCCCAGGAACTGCTAACAAATGTACAGTGCAGTGGTGGTTCAAGAAGTTTTGCAAAGGAGACGAGAGCCTTGAAGATGAGGAGCATAGTGGCCAGCCATCGGAAGTTGACAACAACCAATTGAGAGCAATCATTGGTTACCGAAGAACTCAGTGTAGACCATTCTACAGTTGTTTAGCATTTAAGAAAAGTGGAAAGGTGAAAAAACTCGATAAGTGGGTGCCTCATGAGCTGATCGCAAATTAAAAAAAAATCATTTTGAAGTGCCATCTTATCTTACGCGATGCAGCAACAATGAACCATTTCTCGATCGGATTGTGAAGTGTGATGAATAGTGGATTTTATATGACAACTGGAGATGACCAGTTCAGTGGTTGGACCTAGAAGAAGCTCCAAAGCACTTTCTAAAGCCAAACTTGCACCAAAAAAAAAAAAAAATGTAGTGGTCACTGTTTGGTGGTCTGTTGCCAGTGTGATCCACTATAGCTTTCTGAATCCCAGCGAAACCATTACATCTGAGAAGTATGCTCAGCAAATCAATGAGATGCACCTTAAACTTCAATAACTGCAGCCGGCATTGGTCAACAGAAAGGGCCCAATTCTTCTCCACAATGCCCGACCACATGTCACACAACCAATGCTACAAAAGTTGAACAAATTGAGCTAAGAAGTTCAGCCTCATCCACCATATTCACCTGACCTCTCACCAATCGACTACCACTTTTTCAAGCATCTTGACAACTTTTTGCAGGGATAACACTTCCACAACCAGCAAGAAGCAGAAAATGGTTTCCAAGAGTTTGTCAAATCCCAAACGATGGATTTTTGTGCTTGTTGTCATACAAATTTCATCTGCATACATTATAAACCCATCAAACAGGTTTAATATGTTTCCTGATGCAGTTGTCTTTTCCATCAGATAGGCAAAGAAACCTACATTTGTACTATCTTTCATACTTATTGTGTAGTTACCTTTACTGTGCTCTTTATGTCTTCATGTGGATTCAAGGTACTGCCTAAGGCTTAGGCCTGGCACCTCAAACACACTGGCTCACTGGCTACCACCCGCAGGAAACAGCAGCCATTGGCTGCTCTCCCAATCTCCACACACGCCTGGTAGGGATGTTTGAAGGACCCATAAGTGCTGGAGTCCACCCAAGGGAACGCTGCACTTCTGCAAATTCTCTCCTCCACTGGTACCTACACAGGTCAGCACTCTCCAAGGTTTTTTTTCCCCAACTGCAGAAAGAGGAGTCTCCAGGGGTTCCTCGGCCTGATGCACAGGTGGGTGAGACTTCTCCTGTGTCCCTTAGCATATGATGCCAGATCCCACTACACCCACAAAGGTGCTTTTTTTCACAGATAGATATCTAATTCATTGTTAATCCCTCATAACATTTTTTTGTAACTATATCTCTATCTGTACTTTAGCTCTAGCTCTGTATCGCCTTTTGAATCTGTGTCTCAGGAGAACACTGACTCATACTTCCTACTCCCCTGGTCTAATTTCCAGGGTGAGGTGGTCAGGTAATGGGGCAGAGGTTGGCTGGGAATTCACCTTTCCTATCCTGACTCCAGACTGTCTTCCCTTTGCTTCCCTCTCAATTCTGCACAAAGTAGCTGGTACTCTAAAGCACTCTGCCTAGGATGCCAAGGAGAATTGAGCAAGTTAGTAGATTTCAGGGGACTCAGGCTCTGGGTGTAATGGACTTGGCCTTAGATTGGTCTGTGCCTGGGAACATGGATGGTGGGAGCTGAAATGGAAGCACAAGAGTGACAGCCTTGTCCAGATCCTGAATCTCAGGAGATACCCACTCAGCTCCTGCTGCCTCAGGTAATCCAACAATGCAAACAGTTTCTACCCCTCTTCTGTGTGGCAGCTGTAGGGACAAGCCCTGGGGTTGGACCAGTGATAGAGGGGCTGGACACTGTCCTCAGGGAGGTCATAGAGCTAATGGGGGAAGCAAAAGTTACAATATGACCTGCCAATGCTGCTGTGACAGAAGAGGAGGAACGTGGTAGAGAAGTTTTCTGAGGAGCTGATATTGAGGTGGAATTGAAGGATTTCCAGAAATAGACCAGGTGAGATGAAAACAAAAAATAATTGTTGGAAAAGAGAACAATAAGAAGAAAAGGTCTGGAAACACTATGATTTCCTCATGTTTGGGGCTAGCAGGAAATCCACAGTGAGTAGTCCAAAAGTATGTGCAGTGAGGAAGAGATGTCAGGAGGTGAGGAGGGAAAGGAAGGATGGCAGAACACACCTATGGCTACTGTGCTCCTAAAAAGAACCCACAGTATATAGAGAACCCCAAAGACTCCACCAAAAAACTATTAGAACTGATAAATGAATTCAGTAAGGTAGCAGGATACAAAATTAATATTTTGAAATCAGTTGCATTTGTATACACCAATAATAAACTATCAGAAGGAGAAATTAAGAAAACAGTCCCATTTACAGTTGCTTCAAAAAGTGTACAATACTTAGGAATAAATTTAACCAAAGACGTAAAAGACCAGTACTCAGAAAATTATAAGACACTGAAGAGAGAAATTAAAGAAGATACAAATAAATGGAAACACATACCATGCTCCTGGAAGGAAAGAATTAATATAGTTAAAATGTCCATACTGTCTGAGGCAATATATAGATTCAATGTAATTCCTATTAAACTACCAAGGACATTTTTCACAGAAATAGAAAATATAATCCTAAAATTTATATGGAACCACAAAAGACCCCAAATAGCCACAGCAATCTTGAGAAATAAGAGCCAAGTGGGAGGTAGCACGATACCTGATATCAAATTATACTACAAGGCTATAGTAATCAAAACAGCATAGTACTGGCATGTAAACAGACACATAGATCAATGGAACAGAATAGAGAGCCCAGAAATAAATCCATACCTATACAGTCATTCAATCTATGACAATGGAAGGAAGAATTTACAGTGGGGTAAAAACAGTCTATTCAATAAATGGTGCTGGAAAATTTGAACAGACACATGCAAAAAAATGAAGCTGGGCCACCTCCTTACACCATAGAACAATAAATTCAAACTGGATTAAAGGCTTAAATATAAGAGCTGAAACCATAAAACTCCTAGAAGAAAAATAGGAAGCAAATCTGCAGATATTACCCTTGTAATATTTTTACTGATATCTCTCCCCTTGGGCAAGGGAAGTAAGAGAAAATATAAACATATGGGATTAAATCAAACTAAAAAGTTTTTTCACTGCAAAGGAAACCATCAATAAAACAAAAAAGTATCCTACTGAATGGGAGAAGATATTTGTCAATGATACATCTGATAAGGGTTAATATCCAAAATTTATTTTAAAAAACTCATTCAACTCATCACCAAAAAACCAAACAACCCAATTAAAAAATGGGCACAGGATATGAAGAGACAGTTTTCTAAAGAGAACATACAGTTTTCTAAAGAGGGCAAACAGACATATGAAAAAATGTTCAACCTTACTAATTATTAGAGAAATGCAAATAAAAACCACAATGAGATACCACCTCATCCTGGTCAGAATGGCTCTCGTTAATAAATCAACAAACAAGTGCTGGTGAGGTTGTGGGGAAAAGGGAACCCTGGTGCACTGCTGGTGGGACAGCAGACTGGTGCAGCCACTATGGAAATCAGTATGGAGGTATCTCAAAAAACTGGAAATAGAACTACCTTATGACACAGCAATTCCACTCTTAGGTATCTATCCAGAGAAATTCAAAACCCTAATTCGAAAAAAAATGTATGCACCCCTATGTTTATTGCAGCGCTATTCACAATAGCCAAGACTTGGAAACAACCAAAATGCCCATCAATAGACGACTGGATTCAGAAGTTGTGATACATTTATACAATGGAGTATTACTCAGCTGTAAATAAGAATGAAATCATACCATTTGCAACGATATGGATAGACCTAGAGGACATTATGTTAAGTGAAATATGTCAGACGGAGAAAGACAAATACCATATGATCTCACTTATATGTGGAATCTAAAGAACTGAATAAATGAGCAAACTAAACAGAAATAGTCTCAGAGATATAGAGAGACAACCTAGGGTTGCTGGATGGGGGAGGGGTGGGGATGAGGGAGAGGTTGAGGGGATTAGAAAACATAATCAGTAACCACAAGATTGCCACAAGGATATGAAAGATAGTTCAGAAAATATAATCAATAATGTTGTAAAGATTTTGTAGGGTGTCAGATGGACACTTGTCTTATTAGGGAGACCACTTAACGGACAGTGTAGATTCCTGACCACTGTAGTGTATACCTGAAGCTGAAGCTGAATAATAATGAATGTCAACTATAATTTTATATATGTGACCAACTATCTATATCAATAT